GCACTTACGGTGCACCCTGCTCCTCTGCTCAGAGCCTTCTCCTTTGCCAGGGCTTCATCATCTTCACTTGGGCTTCTTCATCTTCACTGCTTGTACTCATCCCTTCCAACATGTATCTGGGTGCCTCAGGCTGGTGCCTGGCCCCTGCCCTGAGTCTGAGGGAAGGATGGGCCAGCTGAAGGGTTCCTTGTCAGTATGCTGCCTGCTACACTGGTGCTGGCAGCACACCCATGATTACAAGGAAACTGCTACACTGAAAATACTTGTACCGTAAGTAAGAGGTTTACTACATTATACTGGACTCTCGAGAGAAACAAAAGGTCATTCCTCTAAGGAATAAAGAAACAGGACAACACTATTTTTTTGCTGTAATTTATACTGCAGGATGCAAAGATTGTAAAAAATGTATTTGTTTTACTTTAGCTGAAACAAAAGAGCTGTGTGGAAAATTTCAGACATTTGAATGTAATTTATCATTCAGTCGTAAGTGGGCAGGAGAGCTGCATGTTTCTCTTCAGTAAAATCACAAGGAATTGGCTGCCTTTAAAATCAAGGACCTTTTTGGTTGAAGGAAGACAACGTTATGCATCTGTTATTAAAAGGTTGAACTCTGCTTTATGGATGTTTGTGTCTAAATGAGCCTGAACATGTTTTATCGTTAAAAAACTTGGGAAATGATTCAGTAAGTGCACATAAAAGCAGTTTGCAGCCTGCCCTGCCAAAGAGTCAGCAAGTCCACTAACAACAATTTTAATGGTCTGTTAGTAAAGATAGAGCAACACTGTGACTGTTTTATTATTGTGGTGGTTTTGATTGGTAAAGAGAACAAGACAACACTAGCTCAGTACTGCTAACTCCTTTCTCTGTTTTGTTTCATCTGGCTCAGCACTTGTTGGATTTCCAAGATACAAAATAAAATCTTTACCAATAACTTTGTGAATATATATGTAAGAAAATCTATTATCACCTTGATTCTCACAGAAAGGAACACTAACTTTGCTGTGGAGTGAACTTGCTTACTGTGAAAATGAAAACTTACTTTCTGATTACTAACTCTGAGAAGTTTGTTGAAACTGTGGAGAGGGAATTGGTGCTAATTCATGAGACTGCAGTTGATTCACTGACATATTAGGTGCAGGAAGGTGGGGGCAGGATTGCCTTTGGCTAGAGCAAACCAGAGTTTCTGCATGCTGCTTGTAGAAGTTACCCAGCTGTGAGAAGAGGGAATGAACATTACATGGGGTTGCATTTTTTTTTTTTTGTGCGCATAATTTACCACCTTTCCTTATTCCTGGAGTTGCAGTGGTGCAGTCCATGATGCTGCATTTGCTTTAGTGGAATTTTGCTTCAGCCCATGGCCCATATCCTTGGAGTTCACTACAGACCAATGTGCTGGGATATTAAAACTTCACGGACTCTAGAAGGTTTTTTGAAATGTGAACTCCATTAAAGGATATTGAGTTCTTTGGACAATTATTTTCCTTACATGAAGAAAAGTTTGACTCTTTGCTTTTGTTCCGCAGACACCTATATTTGGGGAACACAGGCTCGTTCTTTGCAACTAGGAGATATGTTTGTAGTAGACTTAGTATCTTGTCAGACTTGTTGCTGTTATTTTCTTTCTGGGTCAGACATGAAAACTGGGTAACAAGAGTTAAATTTAGACTATCAAAGAATGAATTAAGTAGCATAAATACCTGCAGAAGAACTCCATTTAAATGTGCTAAATTAATTAGTTCTGATATAATTGTAAATTGATACCGTCAAATCCCAAAGCATGTGATGTTTGCTGGAGCACAAAGCAGAGTGCTGTATATGCCCTGCCTTTTTAGAAGTGCTTTGTCTGAGATGAACCACATCTACATGTTAACGTGTCACAGTTCAGTATGAACTTTGGAAACACACATGATGAAAAATAAGTCCCTACAAATCACACATTCTACCAGCTAGCTTCTTGTGCAGGCCATGTATTCTGAAGAGCATGTTAGAGATCTCGTTACAGTGCCTTGAGCCCACTTGGTGAGTCTTGCAGTAAAGGAAACATCTTCTTGTTATCATGCCTGCTTTACATGTGATATCCTGTTTTGTATATGATTCATCAACAGTATCAAGATCAGCCTCGTGGCCTCTACAGAAGGTCCACCTTTCCCCGAAAGAAATCACGTTTCTGGCAGCATTTGGCCGTGATCATCAGAGGAGCCATCCAAAGAAAACCATACTCTGTATTTTTAGCATCAGCCTCCAAGGAAGACTGAAGTAATGAGTCCTCTGATCAGCCTGCCAGAGGGGCCCTGTCCCCAGCCCTGCCAAGCATGTGTGGCCAGTGCAGGACATCTGTCCCAGCTTAAAACCAGGCTCTGCTATGGCTGGCTTTCAAGACAGTCCAACACAAGCTGAAGAAACTTTATTTTAACCACCTCAGCTAAAAGTGACTCAAGGAGAAAAGCTTGGGCCATTTCATTTTTTTTTTTTTTTCCAAGACCCCTCCTACACACAGAGGTTTGTGAGCCCTGGGGGAGCACAGTGGGGGTCATGGTACTGTGTGGGTCACTACCTTGGAGCACCCTGAGGCACATTTTTATCCCAGCTTGCAGGTGAGTATCCAGTGGAGAGTGCTGCACTAAGACCTCAGGTCTTAGTTAGCCCCTTACGCCTGTTGGGATTTTCTTCTAGCACTATTGAGAGCCCAGGCTTATGTATGATGTGGATGCCTGGGGATTGTGGCCCTGAAAAGTGCTTTTAGATCTCACTGTTTTGATGTGGGTGAAGATGTAGACATAAAACACATCAGAAGTGGAAAGCTGGGGATAACCTGGAGCCAATCAAAATAACAAAAGACAGTTTACAAAGTTAGACAAAATACTAAGGACAGAAACTCATAGATTAAATAATGGTTTTGAGGTAGGTTTGGTTTTGACTTTGATTTTGGTTTGTTTTTTTTTTCCTCTGAAGCAAACTGGAGGAACAGAAAGGATCAGAGCAGTAGCTACAGTGCTTTAGCTGCTCCCAGCTGGTGAGTGGCTTTTTAGGAGGATTTCCAGCAGGCATACTTCAGAACAGTGGGTCGGTGGATTACTGCAGACTGGAGCTCTTAATGAATCAGCCTTAGAACAGTAGAGATTCAACCATCTCTAGAGGTGATTTAGAATTTAACCCTATTTTTGTAAAGTGTCTAAACACAGTTAATTTCTATAAAAGTAGTTATGATAACCAGAGCTTGCTTTGGGACTGTGTTTCAGGATTTCAGGAGTATCTCCGGAATTTCAGAGTTTTATATAGAAATTTCATCTGCTGTATAAAGCTGTGTAGCTGTGAATGGAAAAAAAAATACTGAAATACACATTTCCAGAATTCCAGGTACTACAAAAGATTGGCAGAACAGTTTAGTGTTCAAAATATTTTATTTAAATATTCAGCAACAATCTGCTATAGGAAAAAAGAGATTAAAATATGAATCTGCATGAGTGTATAACCACCTCAGCATTGATTATTATGATATTCATTTATAAGAGATACGTAAAATGGCAAAGAAGATCTTGGGGCAAAAGGAGGCATTACTGAATGACTACTTTTTTTAATAACAAGCAGCAATGTTGGAAACATCTTCTAAATGTTTTTCCTCCTTTCCCAGGAGGGAGTGTTTATTTTGTTCCCTAAACAACCTTGATGTACCATATATGTATCATTATTTTGTTCCATTCCAGTATGTGCAAGTTTCCCTTAAAAATGATTGTGATGTCTGTATACATTATATTTACTGGACATTTCTAATCTAGGATAGTCTGTGATGGATTACTGTAGAACCATAGGATAGTTTTGGTTGAAGGGGACCTTTAAAGGTCACCTAGTCCAGCCAGTATTAACTTGAAACTATTTTCCTTGGTAAGACAGCAAGAGCAAGAAAGGTAATGTAATTATTTAAGTTCAGGCAGGTCCAGCTTTCTAACATAAAGTTTCAACGAGAAGCTTCTGTTTCTCATTCCTCTCCATGTCAAAGCAGTAAATTTTCACTGGAGAATTATTCAATTTGCCTACAAAGAATTAAAATATATCTTAGGGTTTATTGAGACAGCTTTTTAAAAAACAAAACCAACACTTTTGCAATTTACTGAATCACCGAGAATAAGGATATCAGGTTTGTAAATATGAATTAAAGATTACAGTGCTACTGGTAATGTCACAAATAGCTGCAAGCATATAATCTCTCTAGAAAATATAGTTTTATTGCAATATGTAATTAGAAAAGTTATATTTGTGGCTTTGAATTCCTCACCTCTCTACAGATCTATTACTACAGCTCTGTATTCTTATGGTTTGCATTTTACATCTCTAGGATGTTTGGATTTAATCAGAATGTCAACAGTGGCACGTTCTGTCACAGAATAAAGACTGGGGTTGAGTTTTAATATTGGAGGTGTGGCTAGTTAATAAAATTGATGTGTTTGTTGGAACAAACACTTCAGATTCCCTTGAAAGCAAGCCCAGATTTAAAATTTCCAAGACAACTTGTAGTACTCTCAGCCTAAGACCAAACCTACCATCTGTGAAGCTGAAATGCGTTTTGCTGTGATTTGTAATGCACAGACCAAGGTTGTGAAAAATCTGCATATTAGCAAAAGTCTGATGTGGGAAATCTGGGGCTGAGGGTTGATAGCAAACTGCCACTCACCTCAGCGATGGGGGATTCTCCTGCAGTTCCTCCCATTGCCTGCAGCTTCTGGCTTGTGTTTTCATATGGTTCCAGGGTCTGGCAACCTTGTGAGATAAGATGCTTTGTTCAAACTGACTTTGTCTGATGGACTTTCCTTCTAGCATCAATATTGTGCCCACAAAATAATTGCAGTGAAAACTTACCGCTTTCATCCAGAGTACTCAGAAGTGACTGTCAGCACCAGAGTTACACTGGCATTACAGCCATGCTGCTCTTACTGCTGGAGTATGGGCTCTGTTGGACTGTTTCATGCATTACAGGAGAAGGATTCAATTATATTGAAGTCATCCTTAATAGAAATGAGACGTTAATTAAAATTAATGCAATCTTCCCCTTAAATGCAGACTTAAATTCAGGGGTTGGAAAGTTATCAGAAAGGTTGCTTATTGCTTTTATTGAAGATCATAACTGACAGGAACCACAGCTCCTATTTTTAAATGTGCTTTCTTTACATAGTTCTGCATATCCTTTAATGTCTACTGCTATGAAATACTTAGTTAACTAACTGCAATTTTAAGGAAAAAAAAAATAGTATGTTTCATCAGTGCTGAGATTTTTTTCTTCTCTAGTTTTCCCTGCCTCTTTCTAATTTTTGTTTTCTTATCATTCTCTCATTCTCATTGCAGTAGGCATGTACTGTATCACAGCAGTGCCTGAAGAGCTGTTTATACAATGTGAATAGAAACTTACTGCAAAGAATATGTAGCTTTAAATCAGAAAACAGAAGGGGGGAGGAATAAAATATTTTCTAGGTACTCAGATGAGGCAGAACACATGCTTGCAGTCACAGAGGAGGAGTCAAAGTTCAGACTTCAAGCTTCAGTAAAGTATGAAGAACCACACTTCATAGGCTTCCCGCAACAGGTGATGTTACTTGTGAGGAGACCCTGACCTGACTTGCTTGTTATTTTCTGAATGCCGTTTCCCAGAGGTGACTTTCTCCTGCTTAGGGGGCAAAATGAAGTGCTGTCTGTGAATTCTTTGTTTGCACTAAGAAAAACCTTTGAAGAGACCAATAAAAATTGCAAGAACGCTTCCTCCCTTCTCTTCCAGTAACTGTACCCATTCCTCCACTACCCCTCACAGGGTCATGCATGAAATGTGTAGTATCATGAAGTGCTGTGTACAATGAGGGAACACAGACTGCTAGAGACAGTGGTCTTTTTACTATTTCTACTCTTTCTCCTTAAAACTCTCCACCTCTGATATTTGTGATTTCAGTGCTGTGTGGATTTTCAGATACTGAATTTCTATGCCTCAGAGACTTGGTATAGTCTCCTTTTTGCCTTCTCACTACCACGTTTTCCTCCTTTTGTATAAACAGAAACCTGTGAGCCCTGTGTGTTAGAATCCATCATGGAAAGAAATGCTCTGGAAATAAAGTAGCTAACTGTACTTTTTGTGCTTTTCAAGGACATAGTTTCTTATGTGCCAGAGAAGAGGAACCAGTGAGTAAACAAAAAGTAAGAAACAAAAAAGTAAAACCTCCTGCACTTTGGACTATGACAAAGATAAATGTGAGCCTAAGGTCCATTGTATGGCCTGAACACTTGCCAAAGCAATCAGTCCCCTCTTTGGCCACATACTGGTATTACAGGCTTGCAGAAACCCCATTAATAAAAGTGTTTGCATAGGAACCAATAGCAAGGCACAGTTTTAAACAGGTATCTATTGAAACATTCTTTTAAACAAAATTTGACAAAATGTACTATATTTAGACTTGTACTTTTCCACTGTCAAAACATTGCTTCTCAAAACTGCAGAATGCCCTCAGGGAGACACACTTTCCTGTGTTCAGTCAGGAGGCAAGAAAAGGTGTGTCTGGCATGAACAAATCTTGGTCAAACATTTTACATTAATTCTACTGCATGCAGGGTTTGCTCTGAAAACAATTAACAAGAAGAGAATGTTCCCCTTTCACTTTTCTCTTGATTATCTCTTCTGCCCTGGGTACTAGGCAGTTCATTAACATTTGGAATTAAGATTCTGTAGTGGAGTAAGAGAAGCAAAGTGCAGGACTTGCAGTAGCATCACAGCATTACAGTAGGGGTTCTGCTGTAAAGTCTCTCCTGGTTTAAACCACGACCATCCCCACTCGGTGCTTTCCAAACATCTCATTCTGTGCTCTTCAAACAACCTCTGTCTTGACCCCAAAACAAAGCTGAGTTAAGAGTGTGACCCAAGAAGCCAGAAGAAATTGGCCCAGACTATCTTTTTAATTTTTGACCATGCCCATTCAGTAGATTCATGTGCCTTAGTGTTAAGCCATTACACCAGTGCCATCTCCCATCAGGTACTTCTGCACTGGGGGAATGTACTAGCATGAGACTGCCCTTTGGAGAAGTTTCTAGGATATGATTTGTAAAGCTAACACCAGAGATTGTACCTTCTTAGAGGTCAAGATTTGTTCCTGTACATATAAGGAATTCATTCAGAGTATGTGAATCATGGTGTGTCCTTTCTTTGGAAAATTATATCAGGTGTGGTAAATAACTTCTTTCCCTTGTCCTGCAGAACAATAGCCACGGGTTGTAATGGAAGATACAACCTTAAATGTTTACACTCTGTCAAATCTTTTTAACAGTAAGGAAAAAAGCCACAGAACTCCCATTTCTTGTGAATGAAATGGTTCTTAGCTTCTTCCCTCTGCCAGTATCCCCACTCTACACAGTCCTTCCTATTAAAAGGGATCAAGTGAGGCCAAGTATTTAAGAAACCCAGCCTTTAAAAATTCTATTTGTTCCTAAGCTAACACACATTTTGGTGTCTCCTCAATGCAGCTGAACTTTATGTGTACCTCTATCGTCAGCTGTATAAAACTATTATTATTAGCTCAGACAGGGGTTATGTGTGAAAAGAGACTGTTCTTATCAACATGGATATAAAAGATAAGGGTCAGGAAAAATTAAGCATTTAGCATTATAAATCTTAAAAAGCATCTGTATTTTGTTCAGTACAGGTTCTGCTTGAGAAAACTGAGTCAGGCAGTTTATTACTGTTTCCTAGTAAATCTGTTGTAATTGAAAGCAGTATTTTAAAAGAGAAAATCAGTTATTTTGTGATTGTACACTTTTTAATATTGTTCAGTGGTTCTGTAAAGAGTAAGATTTTCAGGTAGGAAGTCTGCAGTTTGTTTATTATCGTACATGAAAACACTTTGTCACTTACAGTTTGCTGCTGATTCCTTGCTGTGATAGTTTTATCAGTTACTAGTGAAATCACATTCTCTCCCCAGCACCATGCGAGCGTGTGCAGTGCCACCTTTTCACCGAGCGCACCATCTTTTCATTGCAGAACAAGCCCACTGAACATCTGAAAACTTAATTTAGAGAAGTGCAAATATTTTGTATGTTTTATATAGGTGAAACTGTGAAGGGAATGAAAATTACTAAAGTACAACTGAATCAATCGCATGCTACTTTGCTGTAACAAAGTGGCTCACAGGATCACTCAACTGAAATTGACTTCTTTTCTTCCCCTCCTAAAAACAGTATTACTACAAGTAACAGAGAGTAAATGTAACAAGCAGTGTCTCAGGTAAATTTGGTTGTGGTTGAGCATCTATGTGTATGAAAGAAAGGAGGAAGCGCATCATCTGAAAACAATTTGAAGATCGTCCCTATGGATCTACTTGCAGATAGCCTTAGACTAATATTTGGATTTTCTAGTTGAAGTAGTTCTGGAAAACAAAAGGCAAAGACCATACAAACAAAGTACTTTCAAACACTGGAGATCAGTCCGAAGATCCTTATATTAAAGAAATCCAACTCTCTGTATTATACATGTAGATGGCAATAACATATCCTTTCTATGGAGTGCCTTTTGACTCACAGCAGGGCTGGCTGGCCAGCATGGTTACCCTTCCATTGCCTCAGAACATATGCAAAATTTTGGTGACATGTTTTAGTGCAAGATGGCTCTGCCCAGCCCATGTCAGGGGGGTTGGAACAAGATGAGCTGAAGTGTTTAAGTCTAAAAAAATGTTAGAAAGTCTGTTAATTTAAAGGGGAGTAGCAGAGAATGTAGTGGTACTAATACCTGCTCACATGAATGTTTTTGTTAAGGGGAGAATTTATTTGAGGGGAGGAAAGGACAATATTGCTTTGCAATAAACCAAACCATAGCTGCTCTGCTTTTTAGTGTTTATAAGAATTTTTACCCTCAAATGATGCAAAATGTCTTTTTGAAATGCAAGAGGCATGGCAGACCACAAAATTGAGCAAGATTTCCTTATCTGCAACATGCCATGGCAGTCTGCCCTCTAAGACTTGTGTGATTGTGCAAGCTGCACACAATTTCTGTTCCTAATTCTTTTTCTTTAGGGTAATAATGCTGATACTTGAAGAAATATCTTGCTATTCAAATCAATGGAAAAGCATTTAAACAGTCAAAACACCGCAGTGGATATCAAGTATGTATAATATATTGTGTTTCCCAGCACATGTTGTCTGGTCTAGCCATTCTGTGATGCTGGTTCGTTGACTGAGACACCATTGTCCTGACTCAGACAACCAGTTTGCAAAATGGAAAGACAGCTTCCACATCCAGGCCATTTGGTCATAGTGTGTCATGGGCAGCACTTAGTTGCGGTGACCACAGACCATTACATTGCTCCTGAAATCCTTGTTTATATCACCACTAAAGGCTTACTCTTCTCTGCTACTTCATTGAGTAAAAATCTTTTCTAAGCATCTGCCAAATCACCCATCCAGGGCCCTGCAGCACTTGCAAGCTTGTTTTGCAGGCTTACATGCAATCCATGTAGGAGGGGTGGGGAATGTTTGTGGTACCAGCAAGTCCTTGTGTCTTCCAGCCTAAATAACCTTGGAAAGTGAATGCTTGTGCTCCCTGATATCATCATGCCCTATAAAAGTAATATTAAATGTGAAGTCTGTTGAGAAATAGTGAATTGTAGTGTGCTGTCTACAAGTCCTAATTGACCTGAACATTTCTGATGTCATAAGTAAACACTGCATTCATAAAAAACATATAAAGCACACTTCATAAAATCAGACCTCTTGCTGTCTTGTTTTCTACCTGCTGGCTTTAAAAAGTAAAGGCAAAACACTAGTCTTCACAGAAAATAAGGATAGGCAATAGTATTCAGTGTAAAACTTACTGAACTTCTCATTTGAAAGAATACTGTTTTTCTGTGACTTATAAAAACAGAATACATTTGATACTAAAAGAGTAATAGGCTGAAATAAAATATTTCATGTCAGAAATGGTGTTGAGTTTGATGTCCTTATGAAGAGAATGCTGAATACAAATTACATAGTAAAAAGCCTG